CATTTGTTTCATTCCCTCTTAATCCTGCGCCTCCGAAGAGCCAGAGGTGTGTCGGGGAATGGCCGTGCTTGTATCACCATGGAAGACTGAACAGATCCACAGCCATCTCTTGAGTTCTGCATACATCACGGTGTTATGAGCTACAGCTGCAGAAAATGTGGGAGCACATTGCCTGCGTGCTTGTAGACAAACCAAGGCAGGGTCCTGAGCTGCAGTCCATTCCAATTAAACCTGACTGACCTCACATGCACTTGGAAGAGAGCAACAGTTCAGTCCCTGGAGTCAGATGGTATCTGTTATCCAACAAGGTCAGGGCATCAAGAGTGGGTTTCTAGCCTGTATTTCATTCGCATAGAGTAAACGGCAGAATAGCAGTGGTGAATATGTTGCTTTCTCACTCTGGGAAGGCAAGGTGTGTTGGAGTTCTAATACATTTTCTGAATTGAATGGGGTTACAAACGTATTTGAATATTATATTACGGATTTAAGTTGAATCATTCTATGTCTTTTCATGAGGGTGTTTAAAATCACGTTCCAGTCAAAATCCTGCAATCAGCTCTTCTTAAGCACATTCAAACAGTTTTACTGGTTTTTGGTCAACAATATTCTTTTTTCTTCAGCATTTTAGAGAAAACGCTCTTTAAAATATAACTTCACCACAACTCATGCAACCTTGCATGTCACAGCAGTGATACAGATATGTCTTGTCATGCTTCAACAATGTCCCCTATTTTCCCTTGTATCAAGGTTAGGAGGTAGCTGGACATATCTGATCCATTTGTTCCCTTCTGAAGGACCGACCCCTCTGGACATTGAATTACTCTGTTTTTCAGAGGAGTTCAGAATGGCTTTCCAATCTTTGCAAACTGAGACGCACAGAGAGCACAGCAGCACCCTTTAACATGATAAGTTTGTCTGGTTCAGTGCAGGAGATGCATGAATTAGTGCATGATGTCAGAAGCATCCTGCTTTGTGAAACGAGAGGCAGCAATCGAAGATGATGTTCTCGACTCGCTGAGCTTCATCTAGTGAGAAAAGCCGACAGCAGACTCTTGAAATGATCCTGCTTTTGGGTACTCGCAGCTGTCCCAGATGGGGAAGTGAGCGGAGCTACAATGTGTTTAGTTTCGCAGCACAGAAACTCTTCTAAGAATAATTTAAAATTTTATTACCAGCTCACCAGAGACAGTTTGAACGCAAGAGAGCAAGATCCTTTCTAAAATCTTTGCACAATCACACGCTGATATACCAAAGTTATATATCAATTAAGTCCACCAAACATGATCTTCCTGCTTGATGAATCTACTGTTCAAGCACTAATGAAAAAATGTATTCATTCTTTATTCTTTTCTGATATATGTTCATTTTCACCTTGTGGTAGATAACCTGTATAGTTGGACAGTGTCTGTCTGTGTACTGGCTCACTGCTCACTGCTCACTTGTGCTGTAAATCCAAAGCATGGATCCCAGGAGGCTGAGATTTTCCTTGGGCAGGGATATTCATTACAGCTTTCGGTCTTCTGGATCAGATCTGTGAGTCTGTGTGAGTCTGTGTGAGTGTCTGTGTGAGTCTGTGTGTGAGTCTGTGTGAGTGTCTGTGTGAGTGTCGGTGAGTGTTGGTGAGTGTCTGTGTGAGTCTGTATGAGTGTCGGTGAGTGTCAGTAAGTGTCTGTGTGAGTCTGTATGAGTGTCGGTGAGTGTCAGTGAGTGTCTGTGTGAGTCTGTATGAGTGTCGGTGAGTGTCTGTGTGCTCCTGTGTGAGTCTGTGTAAGTGAGAAGTGTGAGTCTGTGTGAGTCTGTGTGAGTCAGTGAGTGTCTGTGTGAGTCTGTGTTTTTCTGAGTCAGAATTGTGAGTGAAAAGTGTGAGTCTGTGTGAGTGTGTGACAGCGTGTGTGAGCATGTGTGACAGCGTGTGTGAGCATGTGTGATTCGTGTGTGAGCATGTGCGATTCGTGTGTGAGCTTGTGTGTATGAGTATTTGCTGTGATCACTGTAAAAGTAGTGCTTGTTAAAGCGATCTATACATCTGAAATGAAAGAGTTTGGGATTGACTAGGCTTGCTCAATGAGAATTGTGCAATGCAACCAGATCTGTTTGAAGCCAACAGAGAAGATGGACACAGTGAGATTCAAACACGATTTTGCCCCATTTTCTGCTGTATTTTTTCTTTTGCAATCTTCCCAGTTTTCAATAATTAAACAGGTCTGTGGGGTTCATGGTAGCTGCAACAGACATCACTTTGTGTAAACGTGTCAATCAGTACATCATATCAACAACCCCCCCAATCCAGAAAGCTGCTTTCTGCTGATTCAGCATCTCTCAGCTAAACGAAGCAGAACGAACCATTATCTTTCAACACAGGCTGCTTTTCTTAGAGGTGCTAGAATGTTGAAAGGATTCTGCTTGTCATCAGAGACTTGACAGTGGAGAATAATAATATTTGCAGAGAAACATCTTACTGACTCTACTTTCTCCCCAAATCACCAACTCCACTGCCCAAGCTCCTTCTCCCCAGTAAGAACGAAGATTATGCACTCGCTTCTATGAGAGGAAAGAAGCAGAATTAATTCTCCCTGACAAACGTGAAAGACAAATCCAGTGTTGGTGCAGTGGTTAGCATTTCTTCCTCACAGAGTTCATGTGTGTCTGTGTGGAGTTTGCATGTTCTCCCCATGTTCATGTGGGTTACCTCTGGGCGCTCCGGTTTCCTCCCACAGTCCAAAGACACGCTGGTAGGCATGGGCTATCTGGGAAAAATTGACCCTGGTGTGAGTGTGTGTGTCTGCCCTGTGATAGACTGGCGTCCCATCCAGGGTCTACCCTGCCTTGTGCCCACTGCTCGCTGGGATAGGCCCCAGCTCCCCCGCGACCCTGAATTGGCAGAAGCGATTAGAAAGAGCGGATGAACGAACAGCGTGTTGCGAAATAGAAGGAGGCCATCAGATCCATTCAGCTCGTCGATCCCAGAATGTCATCCAGCTGCTTCTCGAAGGAAGCCAGGGTATGGCCTTCAACAGCTTGACTTGCTCGTTCTGGACGCCCACAATGCTTTTCAGAAAGAAGTGCCTCTTGTTCTTAGTTTGCCCGTTGTGCCCTCTAGTTGGTTTTGCTGGGTTGACTTTTATGTAGTTTTCTGAAATAACCAAATGAGCTCACGAGTTTTATTAAGAATAAGAGAGAAATTGGCACAGAAGATAGCAGCCACTTGCCCGGGAAGGCTTTGCAGTCTTGGACTGTGCTGCTGGTTTAGTGCTCGCCTTCAGCCTGGGCTGATCGTTCTTATAACCTCTTACTGATGCTGCTGAAAAACTTATGGTGTTGACTGGAGAAAGACAAAACCTCAGATTCATTGAAATTTCATTTGTGGGAGGCTTTAAGGTAGTTCTGACAGCAACCCTGAACTATTTTAAGGAGGAAAAAGAGAGCAAGCTCTTCCTAATTTAAAAAAAAAAGCTATGAGCGAAATTTAAGTGGCTGAGTAGCTTATTTACAGCATTGAGTCCTGCATGAACAGGAGCCTCCCGCTCTCAGTGTTACGTACCACTTTCCTGTCGTGTCCGCGGGTCCTGTGTTTCACGGTCAGTTCCTTGCTGATTGCTTCCCGTGTCCGAGTGCCTTGTGAAACGGAAACTTGCTTCCTAGCGCGACTTGTAGCGACTTCTTTCAGCTGGAGCCGAAACGTACGGGAGGCCATGAGGAATTTCTGGGAATTAAAAAAAAAGGGAAAGAAATCATGAACTGAATTGAATCGATCTCTGCCGATACCTTATTATTCTCGGGAGTTGGTAAAAGTAAAAAAAATGAGTCTTGGACTCAATAGCTGTCCAAATGTTTGATGCAGGAGGAGTAGGTCAGCCGAGATATAATATATGCACCTTGAAAGCCAACAACACGCCGGATAAAAAAGCCAGTCTCCATCAGAAGCCTTATTCATCACCCTTCCTAAAATATGTAGGTAACAAATGAATGCATGATGTGGACGCAGGCAGGAAACCACTTCTGATGTTGTGCTTAGAACATTCACATGCCCTAGATTTCAAAATAGATGAAGGCATGAAAGTGTTTCATATTCACTGTGCAGCAGTGAAGTTTTCAAAATAAATTGCTAGCTGCCAACTGGATGGGAAGAAAAAAAAACCTGAGCCGCTGGATGATTTGGAGCAGAGACGATCTGTTCTCTGGTACTGTGTTGCAGTCTTGTTTGTAGCAGAGAACGGACAGATGCTCTGAGGACCCAGGAGTGACCTCATGTTTGCCCGTCAGGAGATAATTTGTAACCAGTTGAAAACCCTTACTGTGTTTCTGGCTGTTGCCGATGTTAAATGGCATAACATTAATCAGAAAGCACAAACAACATTTGCACTGCAGGATGGAGATTTTGAATATAAATACTGTTTTTTTGGTGGGGTTTGCTGGTTTATAGGAAGTGATTTGTGTATAAAATAGTTTCCCAAATAAGCCCTTACTGAAAACAAAATGTTGTTGTGAAGATGCTCTGTCCCTTAAGTGCAGAACTGTGACTTATCTTTTTCAAAGTGATGCCAACTGACTGTCCCCTATTTTGCACAGTCTGCGCAGTTAGCTCACCCTCTGGCACTTTTGTGATGAGTGTCAGTCACAGGCTTAGTCTAAGCAGACACCTCTTCAAGAGTGAGTTTTGATCGACGGGCACAGGACAGGCCCCGGTAGGTGAGAGCTGACTGCAGAGCGCAACTCTGACAGACCACTGGCTCTGCGGATTGTTTCGATCATCCCCTGGGATGGGGGTCTGCATCAGGGGTCAACCAAATCGTTCTGTTATTTCACCTGACGTGGCTGGTAGTACCTGCCAGGAACTTGCACGTCTGGGAAGTAAGAAGACAGCCATGCTTGCGCAGAGAGTGCTGGCTGACCAGGCTTCCGGTGGAGTTTCCTGGCTGGCTCACTTGGCTTTGGAGGTCCTGCCTGCTGGGCTTGTCTTGTTGGTGACTTTGTCTCTCGGGTTCTCGTTGTGCCAGCAGGTGTGATTCAGCGCTGCACCCCGGTGAAGTACCACTACTCTTCTTCCACTCTGCCGCGGAACCTCCCCATCAACATCACCAAGACGATCAGGCAGGACGAATGGCACGCGCTGCGTAAGTAAATCGCCGTTGCCACGGTTGCGTGCCCTTCCTGTTAGCCGCGGGGAACTCCGTACACGAGCCCACTGGGACTGAGCTGATTCCTCTGTTTCCATCTCTCTCATGGGAATCAGGGGCCTGCTGGGCGGCACTATTGACAGTCATGGGTGGATGGGCCACAGGACGACGGAAGCAATCTGTATCTTTGCCCCCTGTGCTGGAAGCCAATTTATATTACCTCACGCACTTGAAGTGAATTTATCTAGCCTCAGGCACTTGGAAAAGCCAATAAGAAGAAAGATCACACCCACTTGCCCAGGAAGTTGAGAGTTTTCAGTTAATAGTCAGGAGCACGGCTCCTGATTAGCACAATTTGTAAAGGTCCCAAAGACCAGGCCTAGGCTGTGGCATGACCTGACCCAGCAGTACTGGATGTATAGCAGAGCACTGCTGATGGTGAGCACACAGCCTGGCAGGCAGTGACCTCTGTGACCTGTGTGCTCTGACCCCTCCATGTTGATAAAACCGCTTGGGAGAAAGCCCAGTCAAGTGGCGTTTTCTTGCTTCACATTTTATTTTATAGGCGTGAAAAAGCAAAATGCTGGGTGATTCTGTGTAAATACAAAATTCCCTTTTGGTTTGGTCTAACTGAGATGTTTCATTGTGAGCAGCAATTTGTCACCCATGGCTAAACGCTTTCCTGTACAGCCTCTCGCCTGTATGAGCTCCCAATCAAGATAAGTCCTGAATGCCGAAGAGAGCTTTATTCCAAGTGTTTCACTCTTCACAGTTTCTGGGATGGTGAACTTTGCATTCCCTTCTTAGCTTACAAGTAGTTAACAGCTCGTCAGGGCCAGCATAAGGGTGGGTGTTCATCATTTTCTTAGGCTGCAAGAATGTTTGCTTTGTGATATCTCACGTTAAGCTGAGCAGGGGTGACGCGCAGGCCATGTTCAGTAAAATGGAGGATTGTGTGGATGATAAGGAAATCAGAGGAGGTGGACAGGTGGACTTGCACATCCTGGTGGTGATGGTGAGAGCCAGTTAGAACTCCCTTTTAAATGAGAGCTTCCGCATTCAGTACTAGAATAGGCCTGGGTTATGCTGACTCCAAAGATTTGTTTCCATTCTAAACCACCAGAAAGCTCAGCTGGAATGAAAACGACATTGGGAGTTAGTGAAGTTGATGCAGTTCATTCTGAATGTCATGCTGAATTAGGTCTTGGGATGCTCTCTCCTGCCACCTTGTGAGTGCTGTTATTAATGTCAATGGGCATGGGATTTTTAATCTGGGACTCCAGATGTCCGTCATGCCATGTGTGTGTGAAATCTAGGAGCTTCAGTAGCTTTCTGCACTCGTCGTCCTTTTTGAAAGTAGTCTCTCTTGATTGTGCTCCAGGAGGGGATGTCTCAATGGCTCATCAGACCCCATTCACAAACCTTTGTTTATGGCAAGAGAAGCCGAAAAAAAAAAGCCACCGCAGCTGACTTTTCAGACGAGCGCTTCTCACCAGCTTGCTGTCTACGTGCTCCGCTGAAGAGCTCCTGCACCTGCACCGTGAATGAGCACCAAGGCTGTGTGATTAAGCCCATTTAAAGTGTGCCGCCTAAGCTGCACAATGCAAAAAAATGCATCAGATCCGAAAATAGTAAAATGTCCGATCTAACCAGTATGAGTGCTTTTATCCAGGCATAAAAATAAATAATGACTATGGGAGAAAGTGCCAATGGAGGAGAACTGAATGCTAAGCACAAGCAAGTTTTCCCTTCCGTTCAGTGCTTTTAGAAGCAGTCTGGACCTGAGACCCATGCTGTGGTGCATGTACAGCTGGTGTCAGCAGATGGCAGCGTCCTTTGGCTGTTAATGGCTCTCTCTTGCAGTGCTGGAGAAAGCAGCCAGAGAGAGTCTGCGTGTGGCCAGTCTTGGCTGCCAGTATGTCCAGTGCAAAGTTTCCTCTGCTCAAGATGAGGGGGAGAATAAAGGCATATAGTACTTCCAGTGCTCTGTCACACATCACTCGAACCCACTGATATATCAGGGATCCCTTGAAACCAGTTTTAAGGAGATGGCAGCCAGAAGCAAAATCACAGCAGCAGCCCAAACCCCATTAGAGAGAATTGCAATGAAAATGTGAGGTTTGTTTCACTGAAGGAGAAAACATCTGAAATTTCCAAAGAAATACAAAAAAAGACTTGAAAATTATTTCAGATTGAGGTTCATAAATGTGACAAAGGATTTTGCACAAGCAAACAATACAGAGATTTTTTTTTTCATGTGTAACAGTACAGTGCATACGAGTACATTCTAAGTATATGCGTCCTCCAAGTGCACAACAAACTCAGGACAGCTTCATCAGCGTCAACCCCAGCTGCCCGACAATCCCGAGAACTGATAGAAATCTGAAGAACACACTCCAAACACCATCTGCACTCTTTCTGACCTTCTTTTTATTGAGGTAATTGGAACTGAAGACGAGAATATATTTGTAGGCTCCACAAATTCTATATGAAGTAAGCAGATGCACACTCCAATTTGCATTTTAATGGGTTTTCTTTTCACAGATACATTTTCGAATCTCGTTGCATTCGGAATGGATAGGAGATCATGCTGAAATTCAAAGGAGGAGGATGACACAGGAGGAGGATGGAGGAGAGGTGCTCTCAAACTCTGCCTCTCCCTCTGTCCCTCTCTCTCTCTTTCTATAAAGCAAAAGAAATCTCCGCCAACCCCTTCTTAAGGCATTTCTTCTACAGAAAAAAAAAATCCAAACACAAAAGCCCGTACAAAAGGACCCTGCATAGCTATCCGAGTGCTTTCGAAGACAATCAGGGACAGCGATAACGCAGGACTTGCAGAGAGGCATTCATTCACTTTATCCTGCAGTGTTTTTTTTTAAAGACTTTGTTCCGTATCGCTCATCTGTACAGGCTGCGCATGCTGATGTGGGCTTGAAGTTTTAACTTGAGATAGCTCTGCACGTGCACATACAGTACGCGCACACACATCACAGCGCAAGCCAGATGTAGCCTCGAACAGTGGGCTGGGGGGCTCTGGGGGGGGCTGGGGCTGGGGGGCTCTGTTCTGGAGCAGCGTGAAGCAGTAGAACGTGCTTGAATAAATATTAGTGCCAGACAGGGCTGAGCCCCACCAGAGCAGCAGCTTTTCAGAGGCACAAGCATGAAGGAGGAGGCGATGGGAAGAATGAACCACAGTAGGAAGATTGTATGTGCACTCCAAGATCCTATCTTTAAAAACATTCCTGGCCAGATGATTAGAGGCTGTTGTTTCTCCTTACTGATATTCTGAGTTCTAATTGCCCACAGGGCAGCTATCAGTGTTGTGTGAGGACTTCAGCGCAGAAGAAGATGAGTATAAAACCCTGGATTTTGGCAGAACACGCTGCTCATCTTTTTAAATGTGCTTTGACTTTGGGAGCCTTTGTTTTCTGATTTAATTAATCTGTCTAGCAGGGGGAAATGAGACTGAATAGTGGGGAAACAAAGCCTTATTCAAACACCCCAAACAAAGTCTTTCCCATTTTTCACTTCCGCATCAAGCGGACAGTTTTGGATTTTTTTTTCCTTCGAAATGTGCCGAATGCGGCACATTTCCGTCTTCACTCGGGGCGGTTTCTCCGAGGGGGCGGGGTGGGTTAAAAGGTTTTGCCGACAGCTGTAATGGATTTCCTTTTTTTTTCTGCTGAATCCACCAGTTAGTCATTTCTTTCCGATAGATTATGCAGCCTAAGCGAACACATAAAAAAAAACTAAACCAAACGACTGAACGCAGAGGAGGAGGAGGAGGGGGGGGTCTCTTGTCGTCATGCTCAAGTGTTTGCTCCAGGGGCCTGAGAAAACTGCTAAGGCATTCCAGAGCCCAGGCATGAGCCAGAGACCCCAAAATCCGCTGCCTGCTGCAAAATCTCCCGCGTGCGTGCCTGACAACTGTGGGGTGGCCTGGGGAGGACCTGGGCTGATCTCTGCTGCTGTGCAGGTGCCCTGACCTCTCTTCACACAGGCAGAACCTCCTCCGTCTGCCACACTGCGCTGGGAGTCAGAAAACCACTGACCGAGCCAGTCCAGCCATCCGCTGGGGGCTCTTCCCCCCCCCAGCCCTGCCAACACCGCCTTCCGAATGTTGCACCAAGGGAGACATGTTGTTTTCTCTTTCAGTGCTGCTATTTCACATCTCCCCTTTCCTCATCCTCTCTCTCTCTCTCGTCCTTCCTTTCCCGCAGACCTGCGCAGAATGACAGCTGGGTTTATAGGGATGGCAGTATCCATTATCCTCTTCGGATGGATTATTGGAGTCCTCGGCTGCTGCAAGCAACATGATTTAATGCAGTATGTAGCTGGGCTGCTGTTCCTCATGGGAGGTAGGGGCCAGACGATTTCCTTGGTACTCGCTTTGTTATGAAAGCTCCCCGTCATGTGTGACTGTAAATGTGTCCATGGTTGTGCCTTTATTCTGTTTATCCGATTTTTGTTTGTTTGTTTGTTTGTTTGTTTTTTAAAAAGGGGACAAACGACCGTATTTTATTGTTGCGGTTGTTAGAAATTGCCTTTTTCCTCTTGCGTGGGTATTGTTACAACCGGCCTTGGAAGAGTTGTCAAGGACTGTATCACGGAACCTGCAGGTCAGAACAGTCCCCAGCAGTTTCTCCTTCTCACAACACTCCTTTACTGTACACAGACACCCCTCTTGACCAACCGCCCTGTGCAGTCTAATGGAGTCAAAGTCCTACCAAAACAGCATGTCAATTCAAATTAAATCAATAAAACCCTGCAGCTGCTATTGGTTTTCCCACCAGTGAGATTCTAGATTTAAATACTCCTCAACCCTACTTGAGCCAGCAGCCATATCTCCCTACAGCTCTCTAACTGGCTACCCACTGAAGCTCAGCAGGGTTGAGCCTGGTCAGTACCTGGAAGGGAGACCTCCTGGAAGTGGTGTTAGTGGGACCAGTGGGGGGTGCCCACCCTGCGGTCTGTGTGGGTCCTAATGCCCCAGTATAGCGGCGGGGACACTATACTGTAGTGGGCACCATCTTTCGGAGGAGACGTTAAACCGAGATCCTGACTATCAGTGGTCATTAAAGATCTCCGGGCATTTCTTGATAACAGTAGGGCGTTATCCCGCTGTCTGGGACAAATTTCCCTCCTCTACATGTACCGTGGCCTCCAAATTGTCCCCATGTATGATTGGCTTGCACTTGCTCTGCGATGGACTGGTGTCCCATCCAGGGTGTACCCTGCCTTGTGCTCATTGCTTCCCGTGACATTGTATGGTATAAAGCGGTTTGGCAAATGACATGACATGACAAACCTACGCGGAATGCTACAGCATATAACAAGCGTTACAGAATTATCAAGCAATGACATGATATGGTTGTGTGAAGAGTTTTAATTATCCATCCATCCATTTTCTAAGAGCTTCTTAGCCTGAGTCTATCCAGGCAAACAAAGGGCGCAGGGCAGGATACACTCTGGACGGGACACCAGTCCATCGCAGGCATTGTTTGTTTTTTTTGTCGTTCTTGTCTTTTCTAAAAGTTCCAGTCCACACCTTCACTCAGATTTCTGGCGGCGCGAGGTTTCTCAGTTTTCAAGCTCAGAGCGTCAAGCGTGGCTGTCGCTAGGCGACGCTCTTAGCTGGGCCTGGGCTCCATTGGACAGGCCTCGCCTCTATTCTCATTCCAGCAGGCCTCAATCCCTCTGAAGGATTAAAGCCCTGAGATAATTAATTCTTCCTCATCCATACATAACTAATGTAAAATGTGATAATACCACAGCTGAGATTTGTCTTTATCTTGAAGTCACAGGATTATTCATCTCCCAGTCTTTGCGTGCCGAGTAAAACACTCCAGTAATGTAGTGCGTTGGCTTCAGAATGACATAATGAAGCATGAGACTTCAAAATACTAATTTCATTAGGATTCTGTTCGCAAAGGAGGTGCACTGGCTGCTCTATACAAAAGCCACTATCAGCCCAATGACACAGCCGGAAGGCCAAATTCAATTACTGCCAAAGCTTAAGCTGCAGAAAACACAAACAATGGGAGTATTAATTAGCACAAAATGAAATGAGCCTTGAAGAAAGTGTTAAATGTGTGAGTCTGTTTTTTTTT